CCCATCGCTCGCCCCCGCCCCAGCCCGCAGTCTGCCTGGGACGCTTGTCGGGAGCGCTTGTCACCCTCTGCTACCCCTAGACTGTCCCTGCTTGCGCGCGTGCCAGAGTTCCCCATTCATAGGTCTGGGCGCACACCAGAAGATGCTTTCCTAGCTAGTGTCCCGTTGATTCGAGCCGCATGCCCCGGACAAACTTTGTAAACCCTGTATCTAGGTGGGTGACTGGTCTCAGCCTGCAGGCTGTGTGCAGTCTATAAGTGACTGGTGTGGTTTTTATTTTCCTTCTTACGATTTTCTAGTTTTTTTTTTTTTTTTTCAAGACATGCGCAATGTGTATTGAGTGTATGTAGGAAACAAAATAAATTCCGTGACACGTGCAAGAGGACATCCAGACAGAGCGGAAGGGAAACTTCAGACGTCCTATTTAGGGATGAGTCTTGCCTTCACTTGTGCTTAAGTAGACGGGGTAAACCCACAAGCTGTGGGCCAGGCCTCCGGCTCCGCGACAGGACCCGCAGAGAACAGGAGACGCACCATGCCTGTGAGCAGCTCACACGTGTGGCATGACAGGGCTGCGGCAGTGGGGCTTCTGTCGCTGCATGGCAAAGTTCGGGCAGTGGTCAGGGAAGCTTCCCAGAGAGCACAGATCCACCGTCACGGTCCCAGAAGTCAAGGCCAAGAAACAGGAAAAGTCAACTTTTCACATCCTGCTTCAGTCCCAACCGCCTCATGTAAACATTACCCCCGTCTACAGAGGGGAATCGAAGCACAGAGAGATTAAACGACAGTCTCAGACACAGAGCTGGGCAGCTGTGGAGACTTTGGACACCTCACAGCCTCTCCTGAGTCTCGGTTTCCCTCGGGGTGGAATAAGAGTAACACCTGCATGATGGGGTTGTGACCAGGATGAAGGGATGAGGTCCATGCTGTGCCTCGGGCAGGGGTCTGGCACCGCCTTCTTAATCAGCCGTCATAGTTAGAGCAGCAGCTGTTGGTGTCTGAGTGAGGGCAGAGGAGGAGCAAAGTGTCGAGGGTTCTGTTAGGAGGTTTTGTTTTTGGTTTGAAGAACCATCAGACATAATCATCATTTCAGCCTGAGATGAGTTGCCCGAGTTCCTGCTAGAGCTTCACAAGGATTAAGCCTAGAATCGTTTTCATGTCACCCCCAGCACCTCCAGAGTAACCAGGAAAAGCCCTGAGAGGTCAGGAAGAGAAAGTAGAAGGGAAGGGATTACTTCTAGGGGCCAGGAACTTGTTCCCCTGATCCCTACCTCAGAGCAGCCCCAGCGCTACATTATCTGATCATTTCTCTTCATGCGGAATAACCGAAAGGTCATTTCTCTGTGTCCTGAGAAGTAACATCTAGTTACCTAAATCAGTGAACCCAGAGAGAAGTTTATCCATGTTGACTGCACTAGCAGTCAAGGGCCTTAGAGTTGCCAGTGACAAAAACCCCATTTTTAGTGCTCTAAGCAAAAACAGAAATGTATGGCCATATCTAAGAAGTCTAGGAGGATTCAGGAACAGCTGGATCTAGGTGTTGAAAGGATGTCATCAGGGTCCCATCTCTCTTTCCATCCCAAAGCTCTCTGCTTTCCCTTGTATTGGCTTCACTCTGAGACAGGGCCTTGCCACAGGGTGCCTCCTGCAGTGCCAGGCTTACCTCCCAAGAGAACGAGCCTTTTCTTGCCGAACAGTTGTAGAGAAATTCACAGAATAGGAGCTCGGTGGTCTTGCTGGGCATTATGCCCTTCCCTGAACCACCCCTGGGACTAGGACCAAGGAGTGGAAGTTCTTACTGGGCATGTGAGTTCAAAAGAATGCCCCAAAGAACATCGCTGCTGTTTCCAAAATAAACAGGAGCAGAGACCAGGCAGGCGAGGAGCAGATGGCCACCCTGCTTACATGAGCTCGGCTGTTCTCAGAACGCTGGGGGTGGGCATGGCTCTTGTCTTCTCCTTAGACAGACAGGGAGGCTAAGATGTGCAGCAGTGAAGAAGCAGGGGCGAGCAGGGCGTGTCCAGCCTCCCGCTGCCACTCACGGATTCTTTCTGGGTCTCAGGTACCCTGCAGTCCAGTCCTGCAACTACAACTCCGTCAGGGTCCTTCAGTGGCTCCCAGGACGATAGCGATTCAGATATGACCTTCAGTGTCAACCAGTCCTCCTCGGCGTCGGAGTCGTCCTTGGGTAAGGAGGTGTAGACCCTAGCCCCAGGGGTCGGTGCTGGCTTGGCTCCCTTCCCCCTGCATCTGCTCCGTCCCTCTGTACTGTGCTGGAGGAGGAGAAGCCTGCAGATGCGGCTCCCACAGGGTGATGGTGGTGCTTGGTGGGATGGCAGGGTAGGGGAAGGTGCACAGCCAGGACGCTAAACCAAAATCGTCTCCAAATCATGTCCCCCACTGGTGCCCGGGTGCACATTCTTGGGGTTGCGCCGGCACAGGCCAACTGTTAATGGATCTCCTGTTCTCCCCTTGGGCAGTGACGGCCCCCAGCTCCCCGCTGAGCCCCCCGGTGTCCCCAGCATTCTCCCCGCCAGAGCCAGCGGGCAGCAAGAACGGCGAGTGCACAGTATGCTTCGACAGCGAGGTGGACACCGTCATCTACACTTGCGGACACATGTGCCTGTGCCACAGCTGCGGCCTGCGGCTCAAGAGGCAGGCACGGGCCTGCTGCCCCATCTGCCGGCGGCCCATCAAGGATGTCATCAAGATCTACAGGCCCTAGCCTGGCCCTCCAGCCAGCCTTCGCCGCAGCAAGGTCATCTTTCTGAAGCTCCCACTGGGCTGGGCCGCCACCATAGCCAGCAGGGAGTCCAAGGGCAGCAGCCATCTCTCGTCTGCCACTCTCCAGGGATGGGCAAGGCGTGACAGTTGTGGAGGGGAGGCCCTGGGGTCTGAGCCCAGGCACAGGTTGCGTCTGGCTCAAAAGTGCTTCGCCCCCAAAAGGCCATCCTAAGCAAGCTCAGGAACTGCCTGGTCGATGCGCGTCCCTCGGTGACCTTCCAGCTGGGAACCAGCGCCCTCTGTCTGTGCAATGCTTCTTTCTGGGGTTGGGTTGCGTGTATGTGGGGGAAGGGGGGTGGTCACACGAGAGAGAATGTGAGGATGAATGAGAGAGCAGGGAACGCATAGCTCTTGTATGTCCTGGCTCTAGGAGGTTATTTAACACTAAGGACTGTGCAATCCAGAGCCCAGATGTTAGTGCAACTAGAAACTGTTCATTTTCTGGGGGTGGGACAGAAGCTGTTTTTGAATGTACATAGCCTGAACCTATACAGCACTCTCTTGGATGGTCTAGAAAAGGGACACTCAGATTTTCTAAGGGGAGGCAAAAATAACTCATTGTTTACAGCTCCAAAGCAGCCGCTCCTGGTGGCAGGCAGGTGGGCGGAGAACATCGGAGACACTCACGTTTTTTGGTTCTTACTCAGTCTTGGAGGAGCATTTTCATGGGTGCTAAGGCTGGGCACTCTGGGCTGTGGCATCTTTTCACCCTTTGCCCCCAGATAGGGGAACAAGCACATTGCACCTGCTGGGTCATTGGATGATTTCGGTCTTCGTTCACACCCTCCCCTTCTCCAAGGAGACCCCTGGAGGAGGCGCTCTTGTCCTGGGAAGGAGGACCTTGGAGGCAGGGGCTCACGTGGAACTTGGAAGCGCCACCACAGAGTACAGACGCGTATTTCCTGTGGGCTGGCGCTGACGGTCCGTGGTCTCCCCAAGGCCAGAAGCTAGAGGGGAACCAGGCTTTGTAACGGTCCTTGTGCTGGTTCTCAGCTTCTCTTCCTTGCATAATTACTAAGGTGCAAACTGGTGGGTACGTTAACTGATTTTCGAGACACTGACTGAAAGTGCTGACATTGGGGTTCTTCCCTGTCCTGAAGGCCCTCACCCAGCCCATCTCTGCAGACTCCACTCTGCAAGACCTGGGGCAAAGGGCTGACCCAGGCCTGCTCCTTTCCTGCCCCTTGTCTGGGCTCCTGGCTGTGCTGTTCCAAGCTGTCCCACTGGGGCAGTCCCTTGGCCTCTCTGTTTTTGAGTTCCTAATTAGAAGCCAAGTACCTGGCTTCTGCATCAGCTCCTAGGCGGAGGGGCCCAGCCTTCTAAGAAGTTTGGGGTAGGTTAGCAAAGAGCAGTTAGCCTTTGTCTCACAGCTCTAATCTCTTATCTTTTGCTGAGGGAGAGAAGGAAAGGAAGAATGTTCAGGGAATTTTTGCATTCACTTAATCCCTTGCTGGGAGCCAGGCTCAGCTGGGCCCTCCTGAGAGCCAGTCCCACAAGACCGGTTCCTGCCCCCCAGGATGCTGGAGGTCACCAGCCAAGCATACTTTCTCTGCTAGGGCTGGTTCTGGTTTTCTGACCTGATCTTGACCTCAGAAACACCGCTCTCTTGCCCAGCAAAAACCCCTGATCTCTGCCTTTCCATTAGTGAATCTGGGGAACATGGCCACATTGGAACTTTGCAGCAGAATCTTTTAGGAGCTACTAGAACCCCAGTGTTTGGCATGGTAAGAGTTTAAGCATCAGGCAGGCCTGGGTGCCCGGCTGTATTGGCTCGGCACAACTCCTCCATTTCCCTGTGTGCAGGTGGTTTGGGCAGAGCCGCGCACAGGCTCTGTATGGGAGGACTTCCCCAGGGAGCTGGCTCTCCAGCCAGCCAGCCCCTAGCTAGATGGAGACACTCACAGATCCCCACGGTAGCGGTGGCCTGGGAGAGCTGGCTGCCTCCCCCCTGCTTCTTGCCCTTCCCAGCAGACCCCATGGTTCCAACAGAGGTTACATAGCACCACCAGGAAACCAGCCAGTGAGGGCCGGGCCCAGGGTGGACCAGATATGCTTCTGACGACCTGTCACCTGGGAGAAAAGGAGCCAGCGGCCTGCTCAACCTGCTCTGCAGCCACTACAGATAGCCTCCCTGTGTCCCCGAGCGGAGGGGCGTGTATGTTCTAAAACCGGGCACTTCCGGGTACTTTAGGGAATGGGCACCTCCTCTGCTTCGCTTCTTCTGGAGTAGGGGGTGGGAGAAGGAGGGAGAGGAGCCAGGATGTCTTTTATTCACACCTACTATGTGCCTTGGCACCGAGCTAGAGCAGCACCTTCATGCATTAGTCCCAGGAGGCAAGTCTTAGTGCCATAGCAAGCCACATCTGAGATGCTGCTGACGATAAGGCACCATGTTACGGACCACCGAGAAACCACTGCCAATCTTAACTAAGATGCCCGTAACTGTGTAATCCCTTCCAGCTGGAGGTGTTCAGGTGTGAAAAACTGATTCTTAGAATCCAGCAAATAAGGTATTCTCCCCATTTGGCAGGTGAGAGAATTGAGGTGCTGTACGTGAAGTGACTTAAGGTTCACATAACAGGAAGTGACAGGGCTGGGATTCAAGCCTAAGCACGTCTGGCACCAATCCCAGTGTGCCCACTGCCTGCCCCTGGGCCCCAGAAAGCTCCACGCTGTCTGTTGTTTTCTTCCTTGAAACTTGGGGCCAGAGCCTGGGCACCTGCGCCTGTGGAAGTTTCTGGGCTGCAGCCCCTCTGCTGCCCACGCTCTGCAAGGACAAGTGTCCTCCTTTACCGGCTTGTGCACTCACTGCCACTTCTCCCAGCCAAGCCGAGCCCGGAAGAGCAGAGCTCCAGCCCACGGCCTTCTGCTGCACAGAGGTGCCCACACAGGCGACTGGGAATGGACCATTGCCATGTGCAAGGTCCCCAGCGCCCCTGGGGTCACTGCCCATTGTGCCCCCTACGGCAGCAGCCAGGGCTCCACAACAGGATAGGGAAGACCAGGAGATGCCACCTTTGTCATGGTCTTGGCCCTGTCCGCATGGAGCCTCCTGGACAGCTGGGCTGCTTCCAAGACAAAGCAAGCGCCCTTTTCTAGTGCATTCCCAGAACAAGCAGTCTTGGGATTGAGCCCCTCTGGGGTAGCTGCTCCTTGACCTGCAGCCCCATCTCTTCAGTCATTTGACACTGAAGGGCGCAGGGTATATTCTGGCCACAGGGTTGAGAACTGAGACCAAAGACAAAGCCCATACAGCGCTCGCGGTCTGGAGGAGATGATCAGATTGCAGCAGGAACGTGATTATCAGTGTTCAGGGGGTTGGTACAACAATACCAGATACACAAAGTCATTCAACTAACATTTGCTGAGTGCCCACTTGGTGTAAGGTGCAGGGGATGGAGCAGATAGAAATTGCCCCAGTTCTGAGGCTGAAGGTGTAACATTAGCAGGGTGTTGAGATGTTAGGGGCAGACTGACTTAGGCTTTCTTGGCCGTTCTGTTGTCTCCTGTCCATCTAGGTAAGTGCCCATTGACTGCCTTCCTGGCTGAGAGTCCACAGCATGCTTTGCAGAACCTCTTCTGCTTTACAAATGGGAATCTCTGGGGTCATGGGCTGCCACCAGACAGCTTCAGGCAGAGCCCACAAAGGCCCCCATAAGCTCATGATCCCTGCAGGTCCTCCCAGGGAGGCACTGGGGAGATGCTACCTGCTACTTTGGGGCTCTAGGACTCCCTCCCATGGCCCAGGAGGACCCCAAGGGAGTCCGTTCCAGTTGAAAATGTGCTTGTGCAAAGACTTGGTGAACGAGAGGCAATAACCTCCCACTGCTGGATCCCATTAATGCCCCAGTCTGGCAGGGGGACACCAGCTCAGGGACATGTGGCCTCCTGGCATTTCTTGGTATTTAACTGTGTTGTTGTCTTATCCAAGTCCCTAATGAAACGATTTGTACAACAATCTGTCTGTGCCTTATGAAAGTGTCTGTGCACTTTTTATCCTTTTTCAAAGCAACTTTTTAAACGTGGATGAGGGACAAGCAGACATGGTGGGGTTCTGGACACCTGTGGTTAATCACCGAAACCCTCTTGCGTTATTTTGGATGTTGGAGTGATAAAGCGTCCACCCTCGCCCCACTCCCCACAGAGTGTGTGCAGACCTTTTTAAACATGTCTCTTATTTTTCTGATTCAATACTGTGACCTCTCCAATACAGTCTAATCTTTGGGGAACTGTAATAAAGGTTTTAAAACTTGGGGGAGTGGGTCGGGAAGGGTTTGCACTGGTCTTTGTGTATTGTGCTTTTGTGTGTTGTGTGTTCTGGGTTTTTTTTTTTTTTGTCTGTTTTTATCTGTTTTATATTAACAATTTTCCTGTTTGAAAAACAAATACAAATTTGGCTTGTTAAAAAAAAAAAAATAAAGTTTCTTCAGGACTCAATTTTGAATATTGCACCTGTGTTCAATGTCAGGGAGTGGAGGCGAGGGGTCCAAGTTGCCACCAGCCTTCAGACAAGTTGCTCGCTGTCCATGGAGCCCTGGCAATGCCCGGCCCTTTTGCCAGGTAACTCACTTCCGCTAAAAGCTTACAAAGAGGGCCAGGGATATAGCTCAGTGGCACAGAGCCTTCCTGGCAAAAGGGAGGTCCTGAGTTCAATTCCCAGTACCAAATAAATAAATAGTTGCAAGGAAGTAAGTGTAACCCATGGTAAGCTGTATGTGTAAAGGTGACTACTGCAGCATTATTTATAACGGTGAAAACTGTGAGCAGCCCTAACGTTCAACAAGCAGGGTATCCTCACCGAAACTCTTGATCACAAGTGACAAAAAAAAACCAGTTTGGATGGGTTTAAGGGAATAACAAACTCAGTAGCCTGAAAGTCCAGTGGCAAAATGCACTTCTGATGCAGAGGAGCCCAGCATTTAAAACCTGCATTAGGGGCTTGGTTTCCCCCACTGCCCTCTTTTCTGGCCCCTGTTCGCAGGCAGGTTCTCAAGATGGCAGACTGGGGGTCCTGCCTCCTTCCTGCCTCTGGTCATCCTTACTCGGGCCAATTTGGATCACATGCCCCTTCCTGAACCAGTCCTTGATGCCAGAAAAACATAGGCTCTGATGCAAAGACTTAGTGAATGAGAGGTGGCCTTGGTGAACTTGGTGGACTGAAGGTGGCCAATCCCTTCTCCCAGGGAACCTTGGAGCAGGTGTAGGCAGGGCAGGCAGACGCTCATCTCTGTAGGGCAAGGTAGTGTAAGACAGCTTCAGACATGAAGTCAGCCTGTGCTTGACCATGGCATCCGGTTACTCTTAACATTTTTCTGCCTCAGTCTCCGCATTTGCCCAGCAAGAATCATAATAGCTC